CTCACTCACTCACTCACACACACACACACCCTCAGGGCCTAACAGCATCAGACCCTTCTTACCACCTAAGTCTCACTTCAGTTTTACTTAAAGAAAACCGCAGAATTCCCCATTGTTTTCCCGTTACCTGGTGATTTCTGTGACCCTAATTGCTGCCATCATTGATATTTCCTGTATTTTAGCACAGCAAAGGTCAAGAGCAGCTTCAAAGTCAGGAGCGTGTACCCAAACACCTGCAGCACTGCAGGGACCTAGTGACAGCAACTGCCAAATTCAGAGATCAAACTTTTGAGTTCCACAGCGAGACATAACTCACGTGAAGCTCAGAATCATGCTTCAGACCATTGAAATTGCTGGTTAAAATACAAACAGCTGAAGACATGACGTAAAAGATTAAGTACTTGTTTTTGTTAACATGTTTATCGATTAAAGTCACAAGGTGTTTCTCATTATAATTCATGCAGATTATTGAGAAAAAAAGATAGTGCAGAATTAACTTTAAATAAAAAATTATTCCTCCCCGTCCTCCCACTTCCCTATATTCTACAAAATATTTTCCCTGGGACTAGGCCTTGAAAAGGCCACTACATATTAGTGTGACATGCATTATTGTCTGTAATTAAAAAAGCTAACTTTATGGTGATTGTAATTATATTATAAAAATGTCCGCATGCATAAGTCTAAAAAAGGTTGAAAACCTACAGTAAATCTATAATAGAATGTTTTACATTTGACCACTGTTTGTTATATATAAGTCATAGATTTGGTAAAGCATTGTAACAATTTAGGAAGGCATCTAAATCTTTAAATTCTGGACGGATTTTGTTTTAAACTACAAAACTGCATGAAGGCTAACCCGAAAGACTTCCTATCATTCTAAAATTCCTCAAGTGGGACTAAACATTGTAGGACCTTTCTGATAAATACCACCCTTTGAAAGCACAAACAATTCCATATGTTTTATGATCTTAACTCTTCACGGAATATCAAATATGATAGGAAGACAAACCTGAGAGAAACGTTTACAATGCAACAGCAGAACTTGCTAAATTAAATGCTTCATCAGCGCCTTCTTAAAAACCCCCTAAGCCTTTCTCTTCTTTATTAGAGCAATGGATTGTGGAAAACGTGCAGTTTCATCTAGCCATGAAAATACTTCTTGCCTGACGGGTTTAGTACTGCTTGGGAACTCAAACTCAATTCTTCATCCTGCAGTAAAGGTCAGGACAGAGCAGCACGCTGGGAGGGCGCAGCTGATTCAGAGCTGCTGCGTCTGAAGGTTTTCAGAGGTTGGCGCGTTTTCCCCTCCTGACTGTGTATCCAGTTTCTTCTCACAGCTTAAAAATCGTAGGGGGTGTTAACAGTTGTTTGTAGGAAGTTTTGTTTTTCTCCAGATTCAGTCCTGTCTCTCCTCAGTTTGCTTCTCTATGCAGTGTTCGACTTGCTCAGTTCCTGCCTGATTGCTGTAACGAAAGGAATTGTTTTCAAAGTCAACGCACAAGGAAAGAGATACAGATGATGATTTATCCCTGAGAAGTCTGTTTAAACTGTCATAAAAAGATACAAAATTTAAATCTTCATTGCATACATGTTTAATACCACAAAGATTTGAATCACATGTGATTATATTTACTAGGCCCCTCCCTTGTATACAGAAGACAATGAGTAATATTTTAGTGAGAAATCTGCCTGACTAGTTTCCACCAAATACTACACTTGACACTTAGAAATCCTGTTTATCTCTGTGAGTTCAAGACCAGCTAGTTAGTTCCAGGACAGGCTCCAAAGCTACACAGAGAAATCCTGTCTCGGGGTGGGGTGGGGGATCCTGTTTATCTTCATTTTGTTTATCTTCATTTTTACAAATAACTCCCATTCTAGAAGGACCGCAGCTTCCCAACCTCGGTCATGGTTAGCCCCTCTGTGGAGCCAGGTACTCACCATCAATAAGCTCTTCCTTCAGCTTTGTCAGTTCTTTTCTCATTTCATCTAAAATGTCCTGAAGTACCAAGAGAAAACACCAGGAAGCAAACAGATGAAATGACATCTAAGAAGTTTCTTGTTCAGATCAAAACTTAAAACATCATGAAATATATTTAGGTTAAGTTCTTTTGTGTACATGTGGGACCAGAGGACAGTCTTGGGTATTACTCTACAAGGACAAGCTGTCATCCGTCTGTGCCCCTGTGATGACCACACTCCCAACACCCATAAGAATCTCTTGACAGCCTGGAACTCACCAAGTAGGTCAGGCTAGTTGAGGATACTGCACACCAACGTGTGCAGCTTGTTCACATGTGTCCAGGGATCAAACCCTTGTACTTACTTACAAGGGAGCACTTGTTTCCAGGGTCCCTCCACCCCATGACTTCTGATTCTAGTTTCAATTCTATTTCTTAGAAGACTAGCCTTAATAAATTCTGCTTAAATATTTCTTCCTTATAATATGAAATGGAAAGACTAGAACTCAAACAGCCAGTTATGTCATTCCGAGAAGTATAATTCAGATAGCTGTGAGACCCAATCCTCTGGCACCATTGAGGTAGTTTCGAGGAAGATGTTACTGGACAATTAGCTCTACGCAGATTTGTCAACATATATGAAGTATGGCAATCTGTTAGGAACCACCAGAGCTGCCAAGTCCTATTTCAAGGACCTAACAAAGGAGGCACCAGTCACACATAGCTGCTGAGTTCCAAACATGAAGTTATTCTAAAGAGATGGACTGTAAATGTAAACCAAGCGTCAGATCTCAGACTTAATATTATTAAGAAAATAATGTGGGGGCTGGCTCTTGCAGAAGACTCAGGTTTGGTTCCAGCGCACATGGCTGTTCACAACCCATTGTAACTCTAGTTCTAAAGGAGCTGATACCCCCCCCCCATTCTGGCCTCTGAGATTGGAAATAATTCATTAAATAAAATATTTAACCAAACACTCCATTAAAACGTCAAAACACTGTGCACATATTGAATTTATTTTTAATACATTTAGGTTAAGTAAAATATTTGTTATTTTTATTTAAACTGATTTTTTTTAAAAAAAAATTTCCATGTATGAGTATTTTGCCTGCATGTATTTGTGCCACATGCGTGCCTGATGTCTGAACAGGCCGAAAGAGGGCATCAGGTCCTCTGTACCTGTATGATTTTAAGAGAATATGTGGGTATTCAGAAGGGGATCTGGGTCTTCTGCAATAGTAGCAAACACTCCTGTCTACTAAGCCGTCTTTCTACCATCACCTCTTCTCTGTTTATGTGGCTAGTATTTCATGTGCGAGTGTGGATGTACTTATGTTATGGATGTACACATATATTTAAATGATGGTCTGTGCCTCCATCAAGAATTGTATATTCCAGCCAGGCGGTGGTAGAAGAAGATGCCTTTAATCCCAGCACTCAGGAGGCAGACGCAGGCAATCTCTGTGAGTCTGAGGCCAGCCTGGTCTACAGAGCGAGTTCTATGACAGAATCCAAAGCTACAGAGAAAGTATGTCTTAAAAACTGGAGAAAAGAAAAAAAAAATGTACATTTGGGTTGGAGAGATAGCTCGATGGCTAAGAGCACTGGCTGCTATTCAAGAGGTTCAGGTTCAATTCCCAGCACCCACACGGCAGCTCACAGCTGTCTGTAACTCCTGTTCTAGGACATCTGATGCCCTCATACAGACATATCTGCAGGCAAAACACCAATGTACTTAAAAAAAAAAAAGTACATTCAAAGTTAAAGAACAATAAAAAGAACCAAAATTTTCATAGGTGAAAAGCAGCAGCTATTTTTGGAAGGAATTGATTCCTCTTAAATTATGTGAGTGTTAATCTGTACACTTCAGAAATTTTTAAATTATCTCTTAAAGTTCATTAAAGAAAAAGCTTTTCACGTACAAATGAAGTTGATGACTATCAACTTGTTAAAATTCCTTTATTTTTGCACCAATCTATGTTTATAAATCACTTCAAATAAAACTGATGGGAGTCAAAAGCTGGAGATTTGCTTTTGCCAAACTGCTTCTTAGAAATCCTAAGTATGCTCCAACGCTACAGAGAAACCCTGTCTCGAAAAAAGAAAAAAAGAAATCCTAAGTATGCAAGAGTGTCCATTTCCCATACATTCTTGCCAAAATCAAATTTGTTCAGATTTGTTTGCTTTATTTTTGCTAATATTAAGAAAAAGGTGGAAGCCCACTGTTACTGTCCTTGCATCTAAGCTTTAAACTACACAACCACGCCACGTCCTCTTCACTGCTGCTAGAACTTAAAGGGAACTCACTTAACCAGAAGAGAGTTGAGATGCACAATAAAGGATAAATATGGTCACTTTAATCTGTCTAAAATATTTGCAACTGTGTGATCTTTTGGAGTATTCCCATGTATACAATGTATGTGTGCAAGGTCCTCTGTCCCCTTTTAAAAAAGAAAGGTTAAAGGAAGCACACTGAGTACCAACCTGCTTCAGTCTGTCATAGTCGAGTCCTTCTGTCTGGACTCCATTGGCACTGGGCTGTGACGAAGGTGTAGATTTGGGTCTGTACAAAAGAAATTTCCAGTACAGATAAATTATATTTATAACATTTAATGAGTTTGCAAGTAACTGTAAAATTGTCACCTCAATGCCAGATTTAATTTCATAAACACATTTTATTTAAAAAATCAATTGTCAAAATTGTAGGACTGATTAGAACAGGAAGTAGAAAAGCGTGACAATATGGTGAGGCTCCTTTAAGAGAAGAGAAGATAGCACTCCCTTGGACCAGGTGACACTTGGCATGCTGACCATGGACATAACAAAGTGGCCAGTTGAAACTCCCAAGGCTTATATAACACAGTCATTTTTGGTGCTTTTGAAACTTTATATTATGTATTAAATATCAAGCAAATCAATAAAGGGAAAGCTTTAATACCTTAAATATTTTATCACAGATCAGTTTATAAGTTCTGAGCCTCAGTTTATAGAAAAAATAGTTTAGTAAGCCTAATTTCTTTGTTTATTTGCTTCCTTTTAAAGCGTTGAAATAAAAATGTTGAAAAATGACTATTAGGTTAGAAGCATACTCTCATATTCAATTGGCACTATGTTGCCATAAAGTCCATAAATTTACTTTGTTTTGAAAAGAAAACAGAAAAATAAAAACTGGGAAATTCTAAGACAGAAGCTCTCAATTACAACCGCACCTTCAAAAGTTTAGCTTTTATTCGATTTTTAGACAGTAAAATGTCCTATGGAATAGGCATATTTCAAACATAAGTTTCAACATAAAATAAATCAGTCATGGCTCCCTCTCCAATCCTAGAAACAAAGAGAAATTCCTCAGGGGGAACCTGGAGTTTCAGTTGTTCACGTCTTCGGTTTCTCGTTTAGAACAGTAACCATTCCACAGACCATTAGTGAATCTCATTATTTCAATTTTACAGAGTACCAGGATTAGCAAATTATCTGAATAAAGATCCAACACACATAATTTACTATAAAGTTATATTTCATAATTCTTAAGATGTAACACTTCAAATCCAAAGGCATTTTTATGGAGATGAAATACTTAATTTGCTTTAATATCAAAACATAAAAAGCTTAAGTTTCATGAAACAAAACCAAGACACCCAAGTTTAGCTTATTGGGCATCTGCTTAAAGAGTAACTTGCAGAAACTTCGTTTACTAAGTACTGCAGATGTATACAAAGAACTGCTTCTCCTCTCATAAAGACACATCTTTCTTTGTTGAAGACCCTACTCAATTCTAAAGTCTTAAGATCTAAAGCCCATAGCAAAATATCCAGTGTTCTGTGTACAGTCAAGTATAGTATATACTCTTATGGGTTGGTACACTGCATTTTATACAACCAGGTTATTTATCACTGCCTTCCAGAACTAAATTATTAATTAATTTGCTCTCTTTCTCATTTAAGAAGGTCAATTAGTAAATTTCTCCTAAGATTTATAATGTCTATTTCTGAAATTCCAACAGGTACAATATCTACATAATTGAGAAATATGCTATAGTATATAAACACATCTGCATTTGTTAAACAGTTTAAAGTGTTAATTAATAAACAACTGTGCAAACATGCAACTTTAAAATAATTTAATTCATGCTAACATGCAATCCATCACCACCACTACCACCACCACCACCGCCACCACGAGAATTAACTCAAGGGGGGAACTTTTCATACTGAAGGAAAGGAGTAATCACCACTTCTTTTGTTTTGAAGGAACATTACCCTGGCCCTAGGTGTAGGAGCAGGAAGGTGACTTAGAGGACTTTGTTATAGGCACTGATTTTCTCTGTTCTAGGAGATTTTCTAATAAACTTTTTGTTGAGAACAGTTAGCCTACCTCAAAGAAAGAAATAAAAAGGCTGGACTGTAATATGAATGCTTATGGAAAAATTAAGTTGACAAAATAAATATGCCAAATATTTTGCTTTCCAGTGGCATAAAAGCAATTTTAGCAAATAAGAATTTGACCAGAGTCAAATCACAGAACTACTAACGGACAGATATCCTCTTTATGCATTACTTAATCCATATGTTCAGTAGACCTGATGCACATTTTAAAAAATGGCTATATGTAATATTAATGTATTTCTTTTCTTTTGAGATAGGCTCTTTGTAGCCCTGCAAGTCCTGGGAACTCTCTAACGTCAGTAATCTCAATCTTTCTAAAGATGCAACCCTTTAACACAGTTCCTCATGCTGTGGTGACCTCCAACCATAAAATTAATTTCATTGTTTCTTTATAACTATAACTTTACTGTTATGAATTATACTGTAAATACATGATATGCAAGATATCTATCTGATCTATGACCCCTGTGTAAGGGTTGTTTGACCCCCAGAGGGGTGGTGAAACACAGGTTGAGAAACACTGCTCTATGTAGATCAGGATGGCTTCAAACAAAGATCTTCCTGTCTCTGTCTCCAGAGTTCTGGGATTAGAGGTATATATGCCACTGTACCTGGCATATATTAACATTTATGGAAAGTATTTCTTTTCTCCCCCCCCCTTTCGTTTTTCAAGACAGTGTTTCTCTGTGAGACAGTCCAAACTGTCCTGGAGGTCGCTTTGTTGACCAGGCTGGCCTTGAACTTAAGTGACCCACCTGCCTCTGCCTCCCAAGTGTTGGGATTAAAGGCATGCACTACCATGCCCAGCTATTATTGTACTTCTAATAAAATGCATATATTTCAGTTGTTTGTTTATGTATTCATCCATTTATCTGAGGCAAGGATACCCTTGCCTCATAGCTCTGCTTCAGTATCCCAAGTGCCAAGATTACAGGCATATTAATACCATGCCCTTCTTTGTATCTGTTGCTTTTAAATTATGGGATTTATTATAACTTATAATAAAACATGAGGATTTATTAGCTATTTAAATATGTATTTTTCCTTAACTATAGGAGAATGTTCCTAAATGCCTATATAGCAACTATACGGCAATATTTAACTTTCTTTTCTATCATATTCTACAAATTGCTAAAAAAGCATCTACAGACTTTTAAAATTGTTGCCTGTTTTCAATTAAGAAATAGACTGAAACTGCCCTACACTGGCCTTCCCTTTGGGAGGTGGTGGAGGGTAGTGCTTTAGACCAGACTTGAAGACTGAACCATTCATTTCATGTGCTAAGGACATGATCACTGAGCCCAGTTCCCAGATTTGTATGTTTAATATTATAAGGATTGGGTTTTTGGTTGTTCTTGTTTGTTTGTTTGTTTGCAATCCAAAAGCAATGTGCTCAGGAAGCTGGGTGTCAGACCATTAAAGGTGCTTGCTTCACTGCACTGATGAGCAGCTTCATCTATGGCTACAATACCACCCTGCGTTCTAGCCAAACCAGCACAGGCCTTTCAATTCCATTCTCTAAAGCCTTCTCATAAAATCATGAAGAAAACAAGTCTTTAAAAAAACCGCTCAAGCTGCCAACACCATAAGATGATCTGACTTTTCATTTTATCAATTGTATATGTCTAAATTAAACCACTGAGTGGTAGCAGGGTTCTACTTTAAATGTTCAAACTATAGTAAAGTCTCCCTTGTGGTGATTACCAATCCAGGTAGAAAAAGCTCAGCCCTACCCTGGACGTGTTATTGAAAAGTCTGAAATCACAAAGTCACAGCAGGATGATACCTGTGTAATGAATCATAGGACCTGTTGTCAAAAACAATCTGATTTTTCCTTGGAGAATCCCGTCTATGAAGGGGAAAAACCATTTAAAGGTATACAATAGAACTTCAAAAGATAACTCCCACGATACTACTGATTTACAGGCTTTTAGTTATAGCAAGCAAAACAAAAATAAATTATCCTTAAAGGTGTTAATTATCCTTAAAATATCTACTTTGCCAAATTTAGAAGGATACTTTGATACTAATTTACATGACACAAAGGTTACTTTTGTAGGCTGCAGCTATCTATTTCCCAAGGATTAACACATAAGCAAAGACAGCTCTATTCGGTGAGTATCAAAGCAATAAACTAAAAAATACCTGTAGCTTAATGTATGCAAAACTAACTATTCCTGGGCATGCACAGAGCATTTTCACCATCAAATACAAACCCAGTAGATTTTCAATGAAAATCATGACATTTCAATATTAGTGATCATTCATCTCAGTGTATTCTTACCACGACACTCTTGCCTACAGCTAACACACAACAATAAGTCAATACTGTTTATAGACAATATCTTTCCTTTCTTTGTCTTTGAAGACAGGATTTGATGTAGGCCAGGCTGGCCTCAAATTTAAGTAGATAAGGATGATCTTGACCTTTCTTCTGTCTCATCCCCAACCCCTGAGCCTCAGTACTGGTATTATAGGCATATGCTACCACATCTAAATTATATAATTTTTGAATTACATGCAAATGGGTCTTTTGCCTATACATATGTCTACATGTGAATACAGTGCCTTCACAAGCCAGAAAACAGCACTGGATTCCCAGGAATCTACCATGTGGGTGCCAGGACTTGAACCTGGGTTCACTAGAGCAACCACTGAGTCACTTCTCCAGGCCACAATTAGAAGTTTTGAAGAGATACAGCAAATTGGTACTGTATTTTAAAAACTATATAGAGACTGATGGGACATTATTGGTCAATGCTACATCAGATTTCCATTACCGGTCAATGTTTAATTGCTATGGGGGCATAATTCTATTTTGGATATGTGGAGATGTCCTGGGTTTTTTGGGAGACTTTCAAAGTATTTAGGTTAAAACATCACTTACTTGCAAATTTCTTTCAAACTATTAAGAGGAAAAAATATGTATGCATAAGACATAAGACATGTAACTGTTAAGTTTGGGTGATAGTTTCATTTTAATATTTGCTACACTGTTTTCTTTTCATTTGAATTGGAAAAAAAACAAGTTAAAAGGATAAAACTATCCTAAATAATAAATCTGATTAACAAACATGTCAGCAAAATTTATCTGATAATCAGGAGTAGCAAAAATATAAATTTAGTGGTTGTTCAATATATGCATCATAGGAACCTTTATGTTTTCCTTTGTACATCCAAAAGTTTTCTATGATAAAAATGTATTAGCTTCTTTTTAGACAAGCATGTAATATAAATCTTAGAAAAAAATCAATACCTGGAGATGACAGGTGACTTACTGCCATTCATTGTGTTTGTTCTTTCCCAAGGCTTTCTAGCTGGTTCTTCAAAAATAACAAACAAGTGTTATTAAACGAATACATCTCAGATCCTTCTAGAATCATTGCAAAACAAGACATGAAAGAACTATCATTCTATGGACACAGTAATAATACATATACAAAATATAAATTCTGAACACAAGGGACTCTAAATTTTATGATTTTAGAACTTAAAACAGAAATTCAGAAGGGTAGAGGCAGAAAGAGCTCTGAGTTTGAGGCGAGTCTGGTCTTCACAGTGAGTTCCAAGGAGCCAAGACTACATGGTGAGACCTTGTCCTCCCCCCGCCAAAAATCAAAACAAAAAAGTGAGAAATTATTAAGTTTCCTTAAAACTCCTTCTATTACAAAATCTAAATAATCCTAATGAAAGTGGCAATAACATGAGAGTGGCCTTTTACTAATCAGCACAATTTACACTAGAATCCAATAAATTCAAATGTACTAAATTTTGTCAATAGTAAATAAAAAGTACAATCTGTGATGTGCTTTCTAATGTTTCCCCTCAGTGGCTTCTGCACATCTTCACACAGGAGGAAGCTTTAAAGTCTCTTCAAACTGTATGCAAAACTAAATTTAAACTCCCTTGATGCCTGCTTTAGGCTCTGAATTGCTGTTAAAGGCATCTAGGGAAGACCCTAAAAGTTGCCATTGATTTTCCTTTACTTGGTCAATATTGAATTCTTCCTTTATAAGGGAATAACTAAGGCACTCTGTCAGTCAGCAATTAGTAAGGGAACATCAACAAACCAGAGGAGGCCAAGATGGATGGAATAAGAACTACATCCAACACACTAACTCAAGTAATAGAGGATGGAAGACAGAGCAGGAAGGGAGGGGAAGAACCACTGGGACACGTACCAAAGACAACGCAGGTGGAAGGGTAAAGTAGTTGCTGGTAGAGGCCATACAAACACCACCTCAAGAGAAGAGTGGGGAGAAGCCCTTCTCTCAATTAGGGAGAAGGCTCTATTAATCTCCTTTTTGTTTGTCCTTTTTTTTTTTTTTTTTTTTTTTTTTAGATAGTCTCACACTGTAGTTCAAGGCAATCTAGAATTGTATATATAATCCAGGCTGGATTCAAACCTGCGGCAATCCTGCTGCCTCAGTCTGCCAAATGCGGATATTACAGGTAAGAGTTTAACCTTTACCTAGCCAAACTATTTATTTATCTATTTTTTAAAAGGGGTTTCTCTGTGTAACAATCCTGGCTGTCCTGGAACTTGCTCTGCAGACCAAATTGGCCTTGAATTCAGAGATCCGCTTGCCTCTGCCTCCCAGAGTGTTGGAATTAAAAGTGTGTGTGTCACCTCCACCGGCTCCAGCAGATTTCCCAACTGGTTTTCTTAACTCAGTCTTCCCCAGCTCCACATTGACAAGGCTGACAAAGGCCATCTTAAAGAGCTCCCAAAGAGTTTCACTGACTTACACATCAACACAAATACTTGCAAGATGAAATCCGAATCTATTACTTATCTTTGCCTAACAGTCTTTTTAATTTTATGTGCATTGGTGTAAAGGTGTCAGATCCCCTGGAACCATGTCGGTGCTGGGAATTGAACCAGGTCTTTTAACATTTGCTTTTCCCCAAGAATCTCTGGTAAGTCAACTTATCATTTCCTAGTTTTCTCTTACTCAACTTTAACACCACACCTCTGTTTAAAACATGTTGATGTGCTAGTTTCAGCTAGTGGAACACTCTACAATACAGAAGGAAACATCATTCTATCCAAAGATACCACAGGTGACTCGATACGTCATTCCCTCTGATACAGTTGACACAGTTGCATTTAACACTTCATGACATTTTATGCTTAAGAGGCTTTAAATATTGCCAGGTGGGTGGCGCAGGCCAACACTGAGCACCGGGGGAGAGGGGAACCACATGGGTGAATCTCTGTGAATTTGAGGCCAGTCTGGTCTACAGAGCAAGATCCAGGACAGGCTCCAAAGCTACAGAGAAATCCGATGTCGGAAAGCCAAGAGCGTTTTAAATCTCTCACTCATTTTTGGCTCATTAAGTGTTTTAACGCAATGTCTTTTTGTTGTTGCTTTTGGAGAAAGGGTTTCTCTGTGTAGCTCTGGCTGTCCTGGAACTCGATTTGTAGACCAAGTTGACCTCAAACACAGAAATTCACCTGCCTCTGCCTTCCAAGTGCTGTGTTTAAAGGTGTGTGCCACCACAGCCTGGCTACAATGCCAATATTACGAATCGAATGAAACAAATGAAAAAGAAGCTCTAAACCTTTCTAAATGAATTCCTGATTTTATATATGTGGGTTACAAACAATTGGATTTTTTTTTTAAATGAAGATAATATACCAAGCTCCAATTAGAGAACAACCAAGGTGGATTGTGGAAAATTAGTTCATGGAGTCACAATGTTAATGATCGGAATAGCCAACTTCAAAAAGTTGTTTTGTTTTTTTTTTTAAGAGTGGGAAAATGTCCCAAGAGGAAAACCTACTGTCATTTTCCTACACCATTATCATTTCTAACTATATACTATTATTCTTTATAACTACAGATAAATATAGCTGTCACCTTTCTTCCCCCAACAGATGGAGACTATCACAAGGATCCACAACTATGCAGAGAGTAAGTGACTGGCTTGTTTGGTGTCAAGCCCAGCTAATAATCTGATATATAACTCCTATACCTAAAGTTCAGGAAAATCACAGATGAAAAGATGAGAAGCTTCTAAGAGCCAGAGGACCAGGCTGAATGCTTGTGTAGACATGACAGGGAGGCTCTAGCCAGGACATCTCAACAATATGGTTGCTGGAACAAGACTAGAACAGCGACACCACCAGCTGACATGCCAGAACAGACAAGGGAAATTCCGTGTGGCCCAACCCTAGACAAGGAGCTACTAGCAGTCAATGGCTGCACAGAAACGGAGAGTTTGAGCTGGGCGGTGGTGGTGCACGTCTTTAATCCCAGCACTTGGGAGGCAGAGGCAGGTAGATCTCTATGAGGTCAAGGCCAGTCTGGTCTACAAGAGCTAGTTATAGGACAGGCTCCAAAGCTACAGAGAAACCCTGTTTCAGAGGGGGGAAAGGAAAAGGGGAGAGTTTGTTTCCTCAACTGAGAATGTTCTGAAATATGCTACCTAATATGTGTATTTTATTTCTTCTTTTAAAACTGCTTAAAATAGTTCCCTGTAATAAATAATCTCAATCTATAAACACACACATGTACATGTATATTAAGGTATTTGCCAATATAGCATGAGTAAAATGTTGGATTTAACAGATTTCAGTTTCAGGAAGAAAAGCACTGACTCCTGAAATCACAAAAGGCAGAAAAAAGATCAAAGCCTTCAAATGTACAGAAGACACGTTAACATTTTTGATGAGCAAGTAGTCAATTGGTTGGTCCAAACATGGGAAGAGAGTACTAGTACTTGGACAGTACTAGTGTTTAGGGAGTTTTCTGCTGAACTTACCAGGTGTACTTGTTGTAGAGGCCTTGGAAGTTATAGGTTCTGAATCTTCCTAAATATACAGAAACAGTCATATGAAGATCACATCACCAGAAACACTACTCTCTGCAGCTAGGTTTCCAAGCTCTCCTCCCATGTCCTCTCTGCCATCTACCTCGTTTTCCTTCCATTCTGGCTTACACTGCTTCCATCTCTTCCTTTCAGTCTTCCCTCTACTGTCTTCACGAAGCTCCTTCTTTGCTAAGCTCTGAGAGCCTGCTCTAGGCAACGCTAGGAACCTGACATGAGGTGGATTCGAGGAGTGTTATGAAAGGCCAGGAAGCACAGGGAAAACAATCATGGCTGTGTTGAATGGCACACACAGCAGGCTAGAGATGCTCACCCAGCTGAAATGAGGAATAGGATATGAAGGTACACTCCTAGGGGGCACAGCTAACAAACCTGGAGCTCCTAAGGGTGATACATAAACTGCTGATCAAATATAATTCTTTAATCTTACATTAGCACAAAGAAATTGAGAAGCCAAACAGATTAGAAAACTTGTAAGAATCCATTCACTCATTTAATGGTGGGTATAAGAACAGAATTAACTTTATATGTTTGAACTTCAGTACGTTTCCCACAATTCTTCATATTTAACTCAATTCACTAAGAATGAGATTAAAATTTTATACATAACTCTCAAGCCATTTTTAATACTTGTATAGTTATAAATAAAATAAGCAAATAAGCTCAAATGAATTAAGTTCAGATTATATAATTAAGTTCAGATTATATGAGTCTTTAATGAGCTGGGCTTGAGTTCCACACCTGAAGGCACAGAGATTTTATATTCACTTACACTTCTGTCTTCTTTTTGTTCTGTTTCTATTGTTGACCCCTTTTCAGCAATTCTTCTCCTGGAAAGGCAAATTGATTAAAAATTTTTATATCACCTATCTTTGTCTGCCTGCCTGCCTAACTACTCTTGTTCTAAGAGGGAAGAGGACAAAATTATCAAAGTGTTTTTGATTCTGGACATACCCACTACAATAAAATCTCACCTCCTGGCCAGCAGGGCACTCATCTCTTCCATTAAGCCACTCCCCCCTAGAGGAAGGGGTCCATTCCCACGACCAGCATCTGCTTTGGATGAGGCCAAGTTCACACCTACAGTACCCCCTCCACTTGGGAAAGAGCCATCCTCCACCTTAATGAGAACACACACAGAATAATTTCTTATGTAGATAATAATGCTTATTAACACATTCAAAACAGAGGAATGCATCATTATTGATTTTAAAAAGTACATTTCTTTAAAAAAAATTGAAGAACCAATAGAGTGAATAACACTGACTTTATATGTCAATAGGAATTCTATAAAGTTAAGATCACCAATAATGGGGAAAAACAGTACTGATTTTCCAAATGATGCACTGAAAAAGACACAATCCTGATGATAATTTTTTCCTCATCCCAAATACATAATCTGAATCCAACAGAGGAAGAAATATGATAAATCAAACTCAGATAAATATAGAAAAAAATGTTAGTGTTGTTAAAGGGTAATAAAAATTGAGAAATTGTCACAGATTAAAATAAGAGACATTACAATTAAATTTAACAAATGATCTTGAACTAGAAAACAATGCCATAAAAATAATTAGCTACCCTCCCTCCAAATTTACACTGAGATAAGAACATGGTGTTTCTGACTTACTCTCAAATCATTCAGATTAGAAACTGTGTGTGATAAAGGAGATATACACAAAGAAAAGAAGAGGCAAATAGTGGTTAAAAGTTAACTAGTGAATCTGGAGATGATGAGGTCAGACACTCTTTATAATACCCTTACACCTTTTCTAAAATTTTAAATTATGTTGGTTTTTAATCAGTGAAGTTAATAACAGGATTTATACCAGCATAATACAGTAATTGCACGTTTTCAGACATTTAGAAACAAGACACACATTTAAAAGTTCAGTAATTTGGTAATTTACCCGAGACACTTTCCTAAGTTTTGCTCCTGCGATTGCAGCTGCGAGTCCAGTTAAAGGGCGATTGTCTTCTGAAGTAGATCCAGAGAAAAATCCAGATGCAGGGAGGGGAGGGGCAGGAGGTGGGGGAGGAGGGGGAGGAACTTGATTAGGAAGAGGGGGTGGGGGAGGCGGTGGAGGAGGCCCAGTGGATGGAAGTGGAGGTGGTGGAGGGGGTCCAGGGGGAGGAGGGAGTGCTGAGGTGTGATTAGGGCCTGGTGGGAGGGGTGGAGGTGGTGGAGGTGCAGGTGGTCCCAAGACAAGGCCTGACAGGAAGAAATGTTAAGACAATCATCAACAACAGAGCTAAATCATTGTATTTTACAGGGGCAAATACATAGAATGACATTCTAAAGTAACTTGACTCAGACACTGTATATAAGAGATTAATTTATCATTATACTTAAAATCTAGACTAGTTTTTTAAGAAAAGATATGATTTGAAAGCCAAAGTATTTACACAACCATTTAATATTTGACCTTTAGTAACAGAACTAATGAGATCCCCCCTCAAGGGATTTGAAAAAAAGGCTTATATTATTAGAAAGATATGCAATGTTACACACATATACACACACATGTATGTACATGTGTGCATGTGCGCACGCCCACGCAATTAGTACTACCCAAGATAAGAGACCCAAGATAATCCATGTAAAACCTTAGATGCTGAGATAAAATACTTGACTATGATAACAAAAAGGTATTTATTGACTGATAGACAAGATGAAAACTGTAGAGAAGTGGGTCTCAGGTTTTGATATCTTAAAGTGATTCCACATGTAAATTCAAAATATAGCCTAAGTTGAGAATCACAGAAGAAATAAAATGAACTAATGAGACAAAACCTCAAAATAACTGAGAAATAATTAAGAATTCAAATATAGAGCTGTTTTAGTCTTTAAGGTAGGGAATGTAAGACATATTCAGATCTTGTAAAAAAAATCACAGAGCAAAGAACTTACTTAATATCAAAATACAAATTAATAAGTATTTACTTAAGGCTTAAAAGGCTATTTTTGTTTTTGCAAGAACAGAGCTGAGTTTGCACACTGGGTAGTAGCTGTCACTTCTGAGGCTTGAACAGGCATACAAACAGAAACGAAAGGCTGAAGGTAAGCTGTCCTATCCTGCAGATTGTTAGCCTTGTCAGGCCGCCTATGCCTCCTGATCTGATGTCAATCACAGATAGTAAATTACTCATATTCTAATTTGAGCCACCTTTTAGTAAAATCTGATAAAATATCATCAAAAATGTTGTGTTTAACAAAGGAAGTTATTTTTAAATCTACATTGTAACACTGTTTTTGGCATCCTCGCTACATTGTATACTTATATAAACAACAACAAAAAGCAGGGTCATAATATTTCCTCTTACAGAACTGAGTGAATTTTTTTTCCATTATTTTTATTTATTTATTTATTATGTATACAATATTCTGTCTCTGTGTCTGCCTGCAGGCCAGAAAAGGGCATCAGATCTCATTACAGATGGTTGTGAGCCACCATGTGGTTGCTGGGAATTGAACTCAGGACCTTTGGAAGAGCAGGCAATGCTCTTAACCGCTGAGCCATCTCTCCAGCCCGAACTGAGTGAATTTTATGTACACCCTCCACACTTACAGCTCTAAGGTCCCTTCCTTGCTGTCATGCAGCAAGGCTTGTGTTTGGGACAAACCTTTAAGGACCTTCTGTTTGCCCTTATACCACTAATTGCAATCTGGCCTGTGGAATCCTCTGGGGTACACACCAAGCCTGCCAACCCTTGCCCCCAGTCCAGAGGTTACCTACTCTAAACATCTAAATCAGCACGTCTCAGAGCAGAAGTGCCCTAGGGCAAGCTCTGGGATGATCTATCTATCTATCTATCTATCTATCTATCTATCTATCTATCTATC